TTGAATTTTTTGTACAATTTGAGGGTCTCACAACAAAATGTTTCAGACGTCCGCGTAACGAGTGTTGCGACGGCACCTCTCAATGGTCGGCCCGAGTTTCAAGATGTAATCACAGCGCACAGGCCATTACGTGCCATCTCATCACTTATCTTCGGGCCTTTCACGTTGGCTGCTTGCCAGCCATCCACCCTCACTACTGGCACGTATGCTTATAACAATTCTGAGTAATTAGCACGCTAACATTACAATAAGGCTGTAAGAACTAGACCAAACCATCAAACCCATTTTGTATTCAAATAAAGATCCTTTAAGCAAACATAAAAGACATTTACGCAGATACTTTATTTTTACGATATAATTAAATTTAACTATTGCCCTATTATATCCAGATAAATATTCCAATATACTTTAAAATTGTTTTAACAAAATGTTGCCAACTTTTCTTCTGCCACGACTTAAAAACTTTCCTTTCGTACGATTTCGAGCCTTAGCAGGGAAAGTCCATGTGAATATTTAAATAGGTTTGAATAAGTACCCGCCTACGTACATATTATCTCGAACATCTTTACTAATTGAATTGAAATTAAAATCTAATTGTGTTTGTTTAAAATGTATTACCATATATATTACCATTATTTTATACGCGTACCCAAAACTGCTAACAAGAATGATATTTTTACTAAGGTCAATTAAAAACATTATTAGAACTCTATCCAAATAGTTACCCAAAAACCTTTGAACGAATAGTTTATTTAACAGCACGGTGAATTTATTTCATGAAAAGTAGCCGTTAAACGTTTAGAGGCAACTTAAAATACGTTCCACATAAAATATTGCCCAGCAGATATGTACAGATAACTTAGCTTTTGTAATGTGGTTATAAAATTAGGTTAAATTAAATATTGCAAGTGGTCCTGTTAATGCCATGTGAAATTACATAATATGGCGGTCGTGGCATAAGCCTCAACAAATATGCCGCGAGCCATTAGTCCACTGTTTATGTTATGTGAACTTTTTCCACGCGGGCAACTCCCGTAACTATATTCTAAATTCAAAAGCATATCGACCAGTAAAAAGTGGTGGGCGCAACGGTCGCCAGTTGGCGGTTATAATCACCGACCGTGAACAAACCTACCACCTGTTATTAGTCCTGTCCTACCAATAACGACCTTACCTCTTGGTTATACAGTTTGAACCCCCATTGCTAATTAATCAAGCGGACTACCGCATTACATTATTAATTTACATTTTATTAATCGTTTCATTTAGAAAACGGAAGAGTTTAACGAAGCTTCGAAATTTATACTGTACTGTTCGTGGATAGTGAACAACTACTTGCAAATAAAATTATTTGTGTCCGTCCGATGTTTTGGTATTGAGATGGAGACATGGCCTGGGGAGAATGTGATCGGCTTTTAGCTCCCACCCCCGTGCACCGCTTGAGTGTTACAGTTTGACGTCTATTGCTGGTGGAAACTAACCAATGCACATCAGATTAAATCCGACAGCAGTGTTCAGCTAAAAAGCTTTTACTTAAATTTGTGTGCCTTCAACTGCCACTAACATGATTACTGAGCAAATGGAACAAACACTGTCGAATCAACAATCGACAAATACGGAAAGGAATCTTTTACAATGCTCACAACCCTCGGTTACATAATGTGAGGCCCTAATCCCGGCCAACCGGACCGTGAATCATCATGGCCAACGATAAATTTAGGGAAAATTGCGCTACTAACGTTCTGGTACAAAAAAAAGTAAATTAGGAATTATTCAAAGAAACTTCATAAATAAAGAGAAGGTAATATTTTTACATGTTCCGTTAACAATACCTTTTTGTGTGTTGGTACATCCCGTAAACTTAGTTATGAGCTGGTGGAGCAGACTGAAGCTTTTGTTATGGAAACTTAATAAGGTTAGCGATGAAATAAAAACATGCAGAGGCAATGTTAAGCCTTCCAGTTTACGGCCATAATACCTATAATGAGATTATAATTTGGGAATTGCCAGAGCATTGCTCGAAATACGTTCCACAAAAAGGCATGAATGTGTGAGGGAGATTCGTCGCTAGGTGTCAACTTCGACATTGAATTTCGTTGTTCGCTCAAGTGCCGATTTCTTACACAATACAAAGTTTATGTAGGTATTATTACGCACTTTGGACGATGTTTTCAAACATAATATACATATGACTTTGAGCCACGAATGAAAATTAATACGAATTCCACACGTAGGTATATTTGTTTATCAAAGCATGTCTGGTACAAAGTTAATTATTGTGCACGTAGTTTAGAACAAACCAAAGCTAAGCTCGATCCTATTGTATGCCCGAGCTAGATCACATTGTCACTGCAGACATAATAACTCTGTTTCTACCTCCATAACAACAAAGTCGCCCACCCGTGCCATAACCCATTCACATAGTTTGTGCAGAAGGTGAGACATTATTGAGTTCTGACACTAGCTAGTTCATTACATCATGGTGTCTGCTCTCACACAAATTCATATTGTCTTCGCCAGTATGCTTCCTTTATCGTACCGGCTCGAAGTTTCCCCTGGCGCAAGCCTCAAAGTGTGTCGAATTCATCTTCTAGATTGAAATTCCCACTTGTATTCAGAGATCAATATGGAGCGTAAGTTCCCACACAACAATGCTTTTCATCTGAACTAAAGCAGTCGGCCTGCTTCCTTCCCAGTGCGGCCACGGATGCCTAATTTCCTCTCGTACATTTCTGCTTCACGCTTTTTCATTTCCGTTTGCGTCCACAAATGCAGTGTGATGTAATCGTGCTCTATTTACACCTAACCGACTATTTAAAAACTTTCACACATATATTTGTAATGTACCACGAACCAAAAAACTACACCGACCCGAAACAAATCTCGTACAAATCGTCTTGATGGGTTCAATTTGGTTACGTGAGGGTTATTTCAATAATGAAACCTGGAGTAAGCAATCCCAGGGTTGAATAATAAATAATAGAGACGTTACATTTTCGGCTGATTACGTGAACATTATGATGCTACTATGGTAGAATGACATTATTATTATTATTGCGCTATTCATATAACAGAAATTTCTTGAGATTGTAATTTATCTACATCAGTAGACTTCTCTTCATGAGCAGCGGATTTTCCTTAAATGCGCTCGGAAGCAAATTCTTTAAGTAATTAACTTTAGAATGCTACTGGACTTGCTCGAATATTTTAGAAATAACTTTAAGTTTCAGATGGATGTTATTCTATTAGGAATAGTGGAACCATGGCAGTGAGGGAAGAATGCCATATTTGTATTACTAGTTAGCAACTTGCAATTGTATCTATATATATTTTTTGACGTAGACGTGAAGGTAATTTATTAATTTATATCAAATTTTTGTGCATTTAGGCTTAATACACGCTGTCTCCTGCAGTAATTCACCGAGGAAAGAGAAAACTATATTTTTTTTTTCTCTTATAATATCTCCTGATTCACTTCGTTGCGAGAACCAAGACAGTTATTCGTGCCCCTGGGACGCGCCGAACTTCAGTGTTCCGGTCCTGGCTTACAGGAGTTGCAGCGGTTTTTGAAGGTTGTGGCGGGCTTGACCCAACCAAAAAAAAGGTAATTTATCTATTCGGCTTCATTGATAACTCCTTGTTCCATTTCTTTAAGGTTTACAGTTTATTGTGTTATAGAGAAATATTTTACTATGTCCGAAATTTCTTCATGACCGACGTATCGTGTTGCGTGGAGTATCTCTTTGAATTCCCATTAAAGTTGGTATTCACGAGTCGGTACACTAATTTATAGACATAGTTTCAAGCGTCCTAAAGTCAAAGCGAAATGCTCTCTTTAACTACAAGTAGGTACATAAGGAGCATGTGGTAGTTCAAGTACTATTTAATTGATTAATACGACCTCATTGTCTAGTATCTTGAGTTTAGTAACTAACTTTCACTTAATGCCTCCTTAACCACTTCTAATAAAGGTAGATTTTGAATAAGTTAGATCAGGTAGGTAGGCAACGTTATCGCCGCAAAGAAATATATATCAAATTCAGGTACGGCTCTGGCTTTTTTGATTATTAAATTATAAATATCAGGTATAACTCTAACATTTTGCATAACACTGTCAACGTATTTTAATTTCATATTTTCAGTCAAAATGATTCGATGTTTACTTTTAACTGGCTGGAAAGTAAATAAATGTCTATATGAATATGTTTTTCAAAATTAATTCAATTTTAGTTATGCGTTTCATATGTACTCGTGATTAAATAACAGTTTCCATGTTATTTTAAGTAAAATCTGAAATGTAGTGATTGGTTTTTGAACCGTATCATGTACCTACAACTAGGTTCACAATAGTTAAAATAACAGAATGATAAAAAGTTGTAGGAATCAAATTTGGTTAGGAAGTCCTAGTCAAATTTTTGTCCAATATCTTTGTTGAGGAAAAGGGTCCTTTGATAATTGGCTTTTTTATTAATATCTTCCGAGAGGCACAAGTCTCTTTTCAGATTTAATGAAATTATTTGGAGAAACAGTATTTACATTTTGATTTACCTGGAATCTAGACGATCCCTATGCACGATCTTTTTCCAAAGTACATAAGTGGAAGTAGAAAATCATGAGTAGGTAGTATTTTGTTAATTTATGACTACCAACTTGCTAAATAATACTGAGCTAAAATCAAAAGTAGATACTTTATTTTGGATTTATAAATGTAATCTAGATTATTATAGAAAATTTGTTCAAAAATCGCTGGCGACAACTATGTAAATCGAGTAAGCAATCAGTACCTAGATGATATATTTTGGTACATATCGTTATAAAAGTTCCATAAGAAGGTAGGTGGAGACAATTGAACACCAACAAATTTGTATCTGATACTTTATGAACTATATCATTATTTTCAAGTTGTAAATTGCTTTAGCTTGTTGCTTTACCAATTTGATCAACTTAAATCCGCTTCGAGCGCCATCTTATGTGTCCTGTCAATCTTAAAAATCACTTACCTCTTTAGAAAGTTTATTGATGTGAGTGCGTTGTTCAGCGATCACGGTCCTCATCTGTTGTCCCTCGTACTTCATGCGGCCAACCTCACTATCCAATTTATCAATACGAGCTTCTTGGGTGCGGGCAAGTTGGGCCAGATCAGAGGTTTCCATTAAGGCTTGTTTCAACTGCGAATAAAGAAAATGCGTTAAAAAGAGAATTCTCAATGAAAGAGTCTATTATTTAAGAAGGCGGACGTCACGAAATGTATTCCGTATGTCCAATGAAAATGAAAGTATGTTTATGTTTGTTTGTAAAAGTCAGTGCCGTAGGACTTTTTATTCGGTGTTCCCTTTGTAGTTTCATGCAACGTTCACTTTCAATTATACCTAAGCTTTATTTGAATGAAATAGTTGTGTGATGAAACTCGACCAATCAGTTGGAAACATCTAGATAGAGGTATATTGATATCTTCAAAACTGGTTTCAGAATATATTTCCAATATCATTAGATACAAAATGTATTATAGTGACGTTTTCTTTACACAAGTGTGGGGATCGTTAAAAGGAATAAGGTGGCATTTTCCTGATAGCGTTGGTCGAATTGTTATCAATTCTATATTTATCAAACAATATCAGTTTTGTACATCCTGTACTTACGCAAATACGAGAATAGACACCAGACATATCGCAGGGTATATCTAATACTTATTTTAATTTTTATACGATGTAATAATTTAATGTCTCTGTAATTGACTTTAATTATAAAGTACTTTCCAAGATAACTAAACAAACAAGTTATGCAGGGTTTTTTTTTTTTTTTTTTTAATATTATAAATTATTTCTCCACGGACTCTAGGTCCGTGCCCTTGTTATACAGTTTTTTAATTATAATACATCTAGTCAATTTTTATAAAGTAAAGAGGGAACCTAGTTACACACTACAATTAACTACATCTAAAATTATTACCAAAAGTATAGGTTACATAATAATTAGGCACTATTTATTTATTTCTATTTCAAAGGCTTTATGAAACCAGCCCACCAACAAGATGGGAGAGCCGACCTGACCCAGCAGAAGGCACCCGTTCACGAGTATGACGTGTGTGTCAGCAATTGGTCCGGTCAACCTTTTTATTGGGAACGGAACAACCCAACACACAGCGCCACCGACTGTAGGACATTTATGTGTGCATGACGCCTCAACCTTTGCCACATGGGCCGATTCCAATAAAGCGTACAATAGTCCAAAGTCAATTGGTTATATTCTATTTCTACATGTTTCTGCACACACATTTCCTCATGTTGCATTCGTTCCATCACAAGCAACACTCCCCGCCCAAGAGAGCACCCATGACTGCCGCGTCCCTGTGTCTGATAGCCATTTTCAGGTTGTAGTCCTTAATACCTTGCTCACCCTCATCAGCCGCCTTCCTGATTAGTTTGCTTATCGCGTCTTCACTGTTGTCTGTGTAATAGATGCAACCATGCGTGTGACGCGATATTGCTACTACCGCGTGTGGTACGCTGTCATGTATTTGATATTTCTTTGTTGCTGTGTTGACAACAATCACATTCGCACACGAAAGTCCCTGTGCCTCGTGTATCGTGAGCACGCGTGATCCCACGGTCGACCCGTATCCCTGGTTCTTAAGGGATTCCTTCTCTGCCTGAGTGTGTACCAGGTATAAAGTGTCGGGGAGTGACTTTGGAATCATCGCCCCCGAGAACCTTTTTATCTCGAGGGATCTCACGAACGACCTGGACGAGTATATGCCACTGTAAACTGTGCTGAGGGCATACGCCACATCCATTGGATTTCTGTGGGTACACATCAATTCCTGGCTTATGGGCGTGATATATGTAGGGCGGCTGTAGAGTAGAGGGAAGAGGTTATCACGATCTATAAACGGAAGCTGATTTATGTCACCAATTAGAAGGACTTCCTTGGCTCGAGTTATTCGGGCGGCCATCACAACGGCTCCAAAGTGGTTCATGAGAGCCTCATCTACCATTAGTCGATGGCAGCTCTCTCGCTCCCCCAAGCCGTTTACTAGGATGGACGCCATTGTTCGAACCCTAGATTTGACGAGTCCTCCGATTCGGCAGGATAGTTTGCCTCTGAGGTCATTTGCTGCTTCGGTTGTCGTGGTGACAATTAGATCTTTGCCCGCTTCAAATTGATCTACTATCCATGTCGTTTTTCCGCAACCAGGGACGCCATTTGTCCAGCGAAACGTCGGAGTATGCCAGTCTCCAAAAACTTCGCCGTCTGATCCAGAATCAGAAATGGATCTTGCCATCTCTAATATTCTATCGTCCAGCATAATTCTCGTGCATTTGGCAACCACTACTAGGGAATCCCCTGGAGGAGTTTTAAACTTTAACACTCCGCATCGATCGGATTCCCTCTCGTCCAGAGACACAAATCCTGCAGTTGCGTTATAAGCAGCCATACTTCGAGTTATAGAGGTTCCTCTCAGTACCCTCGAGGTGTTGTTGTCGTATATGACTGCTTCTGCTGCTTCGAGTCTATCGTTCAGTATTAGCTCGTTTCCTTGCAGGTAAGTCTGCAGAATGGATTCGCATTTCCGCATGTTGACCTGCCTGGTTGCCTCCACCACTGCGGTAAACTCGAGAAAAGCATTTACGACATGGTCTCTGGTAGTGGACGCTTGTCGAAGCCTCGGCGGACAAACGTGACCCATAGCTGCTCTTGTTGGTGATGACCTGGGGGGAGGAGACTGTATTTGTGCGCCTCCTGATCCTTGAGCAGATTTAACCACATTTTTTCTGAAGGGTGACGAAATCAGTCCGGTTACTGAGCATATGGCCGCTGTTATTGCCCACACTCTACCTCGTGATTCTAATTTTTTATTTTCCCTCTCGGTGTTTTGTTGGTGTTGTTGCAGAGCGCTTTGTTGCCTATATCTTTGTTGTAGACGCTCTGAGCCGCTTGGAGAATCCACCCCTAGCGCGTATCGAACTGGCTTTTTGAGGAAACTCAAGTCCTCACCCCTGTTCTCGTACACGATGACTTCATGATGTTCTGAAGCCCTGACGCATCCTATAAGGTCTGCCGTTCTCCCCTTCTCATAAGCTACCACGGCAGCGTCCACACTAATTATTCTGGGACTCATACCCTCGACCTCTCCCCGCCCACCCATGTCCGACAGCACACCGCAAGCTTGTTCAAAACAAGTCATTGAGTCGACGCTGGAGAACATTGCAATTGTTTTATTGCGTGTTCGCAGTAGTCGACAGCTCCGACCCAATAGTTGCATTTCTGGCAGCGCATCGTATGTTTTGCGCCGCATACTTGTCTTGGATGTGCTGCCATTCATTAGGGAGGCTAAGCCGGGTGAAATAGTAAGCCATTTGCTGTTCTTGCTTTCGCAGAAGGCTATCCCTAGCCTTTCGCTGCTGGTGTTCATGAACAGAGCTACACTTCGTAGCCGTATTCCTTTGGAGCCGCATTCTCCATGCAAGAGTATTTGCCTCTCATTGATGGTGAGCGGTTCAGTGGTACGGGCGATCTCGGATACTGCCATGGAAGTATTTGGTTGATTCTCCAAGTTGGCTATTCGATTTGTATTATGTGCTGTTTCTTTCAGCCGCCCTGTTGAAGATGGTTTCAATGTAGCTCAGAAAATGCGGTCTTTTGGTTTTATCAGCCAGAATGGCACTCAGATTTGAGGAATCCAGATTTGCATCTATTACATTTTCTAAGTTGGTTCTTGCGGCTAGAAAACGAGGACACTCTAGAATAATGTGCCATACAGACTCACTGATAGTTGAATCGCATTCGCAACCTGCACTTTCTTTTAGTTTAAATCGATGCAGATATTCAGCGATCCCTCCATGTCCAGTCAGCGCCTGAACTTGGGCAGGTGTCAACTTTGTTGATCTCACTATTCGATATGCCTCATGGACATCTGGGAGAAACGTTTTAGTCACCTGCCCAGTAGTTGAGGTGGTATACCTGTCCTGCCACTTACGGATAGTTTCGTCCCTAATTTTCTTTTTGACATAGGACATGGGTATTCTACAGTAGTCTGCCGTGGTGTTATTTTTCTGTTTGGCAGCGGTTTTAGCTAATTCGTCTGCCCTCTCATTTCCAGCCGTTCCAACATGGGCCCTCAGCCAGTAGAATCGAATCTCTCTTCCCTGTTCCGTTATGGTCTCCAAACACTGCTTTATCTCCTTGGCCAAACAGTGGGTAATCCTGGGATTCTTCAAAACATCGAGGGAGGACCTAGAGTCACTAAATATGTTTACTCTAGTCGCTCCATTGTCGAGAACCATTTTAGCCGCTCTGTTCAAAGCGTATAGTTCAGATTGGAAAACCGTGCAGGAAGGGTCTAAACTAAAAGTGGAAAACATGGACTCACGACCGCCCTCCCACCAAGTCAAGGCAGAACCAACGCCTCCGTTAATTCTGCTGCCATCTGTGTATAATTGAGGGCCAGCAATATTTTGGACGAGAGGAGATCCAGAGTCATCGTTCTCCAGGAGCTCATAGTTGATAGACATTAATTTTGAGGGATGTGGCTGGTCCAGGTAATGGACCCGCTTTTCAAGCTCCTTTTGAGGTGGTAAGTAGTCCAGAGAGAATCCTCTTTTAATTCGATACAAACTAGCAAATTCCTGGACTCTCAGATCGAGTGGGAGAGTTCCGGACAAGATTGTTGCTGACGTGAGCGACACTGTACGATAAGCTCTACAGATTTTTTGTGTGAATCCCCTTTGAAGAGCATTTAACTGTTTTTTGATCACCTGTAGCTCCGTCACTGGGGCCCACACGTTTGCGGCGTAAAGTACAATCGGCTCAATGACCGCGACGTATATTGTTCTCGTTATTTCCCCGTTGAGACCCCACGTCACCTTGGCTGCGCGTGCTAGCTGTTTGTAAATGTCTGCAGCTTTCTTGCATATGGCAGATATATGTGACCTGAAGGTGAGTTTTCTGTCTATCGTGAGGCCTAAGAGCTTTACCTCTTCTACGAGATTTATTCTGGTGCCTGCCATAAACAGGTCTGGGGGCTCAAAAACATGCCTTCTTGTCAGCAGCATAGCGTTCGTTTTACTTGCCCCGAATCTGAGCTTGTTGCTGACCCCCCAGGCTGCTACTAGTTCCAAGGCACCATTTACCGATTGCTCCAATGCACTCACTTTATAGTTCGAGAACAAGAGAACCACGTCGTCCGCAAAAGCCTGGCAGTAAACTCCCTCTCCTGTGAGTCTGTGTAGCAACGGATCGAGGACAAGGTTCCAAAAAGTAGGTCCACCTACGGACCCTTGAACGCAACCCTTATTAGTCCTCTTTTCGCTGCTAGCTCCGGCAAAATTTACTTTCACTTTCCGTTCGTTGAGGTAGGAGTTCACCATAGCGTACAGGTTTCTCGGACACTTTCTGGCTATGAGCTGATGTTTCAGGGCTGGCCACCAGGCATTGTCAAAGGCACCCTCTATGTCCAGCGACACCAGGACGACGGTCTTTTTTTCGTTCATTTCAGTTTTTATGCGGTCAACCAGATCATAGAGTGCGTCCTCCGTTCCACGTTGAGGTAGGAATCCATACTGGTTCTTGTGAAGAGTTGGAAGGATGTGCCATTGGATTCTGCCTATCATCAATTTCTCGACTATTTTCCCAAAAACAGACAGAAGTCCAATTGGTCTGTAGGACTTTGGATGGGTATAGTCTTCTTTGCCTGGTTTCCGAAGAATTATAACATGCGCAGATTTCCATTGCTTCGGGAAGTATGCCCACTCCAAGCATGAATTCGCTATAGCAAGAAACACCTCCCGCCCACAATGGATTGCCTCTGCGCATATATCAGCCGTCAGACCGTCGGCTCCGGGGGCCTTTTTAGAGTTGGTCGCATTTAAAACCAAATCCAATTCAGCCTGAGTAAAGTGGGGGTCATTATCTGACAGCTCGTCGATCTCATCCAGGCACATTCCTTCCGTTAGAGCACGAAGGTCAGCATGGTCGGAATTGTCTGTTGTTATAGTGTCATCAGGATAAAAAGTTTTAGCCAGCAATTCTGCTGACTTGTCTGGGTTTAGTGTCAGACCCTCAGAATCTCTGAGCAGCGTATCCTCCCTGTATTTTGTTGTTTTCCTGATGACTCTGTATATCCCGTCCCACATGCTTTCCCTCTTCTGAGCCGAGCAGAACTCCTTCCAACTCTTTGTCTGTTCTTCGCCTGCTTTCGACGTGTACGCTTCTTTTGCCTGTAAGTATTCGTTAATGACGAACTGTTTGCGAGAGGGAGCTGCGTTCCTTATTCTCCTTTTTTTTCGAAGCACATCATTTTTGAGATCCTCTAAAGAGCTTGTCCACCAAGGGGGTTTTGATTTCCCTTTTTTTGGCTTATTTTTAGGGATTGTGATATTGCATACCTCCGTGATTGTGTTTGTGTATGCTGTTATCATGGCTTCTAGTTCCTCAGAGGACCGGACATTCCTGATGTTTTGTGGAGTTATTTGCTTCTTTGCTAGGGAATCTCGAAGGTGTGATCTAAATTTGGTCCAGTTTGCAATTTTAGTGTTGTAGACTCGCGTTGTTGTGGGCTTTGGGGGGTCTAGTGCTTTTTCTAACTGCAAGTCAAACGTAATGGCATTGTGGTCAGAGGTTGTAAGGTCTCTATTCACCATCCAGTTTTGGATTTTTGCTAGTAAGGGTGTACTGCAGGCCGTAACGTCCACTATACTTGTAAAAAATCGATCCCCTCTGAGCGCTTCAAAAGTTGGTGCATCCCCAGTGTTGAGAATGTGGAGGTCCATCTCATTTAGGAACGAATTGTAGTCCGCTCCCCTCTGGTTCTCCGAGGCACTGCCCCACCATGGGCTCCAGGCATTCACGTCTCCAGCTACGATAATATTTTTGGTTGTAAGTTTTGGTATGGACTCCTTTAAGCGCACCAGATTGAGGTTTATGTCTTGGTCCCCCTCAAGGTAAACCGATATCACTCCAAGCTGCAGGCTACCTGACACAAGCAGTACGGCTGCTTCAGTTTCCGTTACAAGCTGAGGATCATGTATGATCTCCAGCTGATCCGAGAAAACCATAACGGCCGCCTTTACTGGCTTTTGGCGATTTAAAGTGCACTGGATTATTTTTGTGCCAGGGTATTGTTGCATTTCACCGGTGTTCCCTACATAGGGTTCCTGAACCAAAGCTATCGAAATACCCTTTCTCTCCGCTACTTGTGCCAGTTCTATGGTCGCTAGCTTTGAGCGATGCAGGTTAGCTTGGATGACACGAATCCTGTGATCAATGTTCACCTTTGAAGGAGTTCCGTCCCGGTTTGCCCGGTCAACCTTAGCAATATGATACGCGAGAGCGTGCTATAGCATCCCATTTTTGCCGTTCTCGACAGACGTCGCTGAAGGCATTGTGTGTTATGTCTGAGCCGACACCCTGCGCCCTCAAGCAATTCCTGCACACTGGCGGTTTGTGCGAAAGCCTAATTGGGCACTTCTCCCAAGTGTGTGGTTCTCCGCAGTGGCTGCAGAGATGTTCTTTAGCCTGGCATACGGCTTTTGTGTGACCGTATTCCAGGCATTTGTTGCATTGAACCAATGGGGATTGGTCGAACACAGGTCTCCTCTGCAATCCCACATAAATTTTACCAGCCTCCAGAAATCGCTTGTGAGTACCAGGTGACAATTCCAAAACGGGATGACACTCGTGTGGGTTTCGTGCTTTTTTTCTATACTTCACCCTTATGATGCTGTCCTGCATATCGACGTCACCCAGAAGATGTTTATTTTGAGCAAGTATGTGTTCTACTAGCTCTGCGTCGGTATGATAGGACAGGACATCTGCTATTCTGAGCAATGGGTTACCTGATTTAGCAACTTCCACTTTGAGGTCGTCCTTTTTCTGGACCTGACTCTGGACCAACTTCATGTCCTCTTTGGTGCCACAGCTTATTACTATCTTTTGATTCTTAGCCTTTCTCACCTTTTCCACTTTAGCTCCGGTTTTTTTACAGTCTAGAGCTACTCTTATCTTTTCAATAACACTGTCCCCTGTGTTTCTGGGGTCAGTGGAACTGACTATAAGAGTGTGGTTTGGTCTATGGACGGATGGTTTGGATGCTACCTGCGCATACGTGGGTTGTCGGATTTGTTTGACAATGTCTGCTAGTGCCATCTCCGTACCCACGCTGTATGCAAGTGGGGGAGGCGTTTGCTCTTTGAGTTGCCTCATTGTCCGAAGTTCCGATGATACTGCATCCAAACGCTCGGTGATTGGCTGAAGATCCTTTTCAAATTGAGGAGCTTGCGGTAGTAGTGTAGAGGCATCTTTGATGTGTCCCGCTATGATGTTAAGAGTATTTTTAACTTTAACTATGTCCTCCTCAATTTTTTGCTGGCTCTGGTTTGCTGTAGTTATGCAGGGTTAAAAACATGATCTATCGTGAATTATATATCGCAGCTTTAGGTTTACTATTAAAGAAAACTTGCTAAAGATATCATGACGATATTTTTAATATAAATTACTTTAGTATGTGTATCAATTAACACAACCCTTTTGATTTTCATTCCAAAAGAATTGATGAATATAAAATTAATATAAAAATGACCTACTAAGTCAAGAAAGGTTGGATCTCACGTAGATAGAACAGAACATTAAGAAAAACATATTACAAATTATAATGTTATAATAATATGGTAATTGCCTCGTTTCGGATGACATGAAGCTGACGAAGGAGTACGGAGTTATTGACACTTTCTTCCAATTCACGCATCTCGACTCGAATCTCATCCATTGATCGCCTGGCCCATTGCAGGGTAGCATGCTCGTTGCGCTCGTGGTTGTTGGTAGAGTGGATCGCCGACACTTGCCTGGTGGACAAAATTATTCTGTTATTGCAACTGTATAAGGTTGAATTTAGATTTTTTGTTCGTTGTGATTAAATCAGATGTGTCTGATTGCAGTAGAATATCCAACTAGTTCTTTCGACTTATAACGTTTTTTTTTAAAGCTGTTTACAAACTGTAATGACGTAGTATTTAGAGTTCAGTTTGGCGTTTTTTTGTAAAATATGTTTGTTTATACATGCGTGTCTCATATGTACATGTGGCGGGGTGAGCAGGATGCGATGTTATGCAACGGCGCACAGGCAGCGGCGTGTCTCCTGCGCTTGCTACCCTTCCGGTACCATTTTGTTAATAATAAAACTTACTAATTGTTATGATAGTAGACAAGCTATAAAACAGTTATAGACTGTTTCCAGAAACTCACTTATAACTGCTGAATAATATTTAATGCAATTCAAAGTGATAATTTTAATCATATAATTTTTACGATCGACGGTCGCACGACAGGAACGGTACAAAAATAAAATATGTATACTTCTTGACTTGTTGATTACTTTTTAAAAAGAGTTAAAATAACAAATTACGTTCACATTGCACCTTATTAAAAATTAACGGACGTTTTAAATACACACTTATTTTGTAAACACCAGAACCCATTTGCATACATTTAGGTACGTAATAAATATCCGATGATCATAACCTATCATATAGGTATGACGCAAATAAAACTAAGTAATAATATTCATCGATATAATTTCTAAATGAGGAACGAAGTTGAACGAACAAACTAAATATGGGGATACATGTGCCTAAGTTTATTTTTTACTTTGAATTGATATCGATAAAAATATCTTTATTTGCCTATTAGGTACCGTGCCGACCGGGCAAATGTTAAATATTTATTTTGTGAACGCAGATAACGTATTACTTCCAAAATGTAAGCAAAGATAGGTATTTTATCTTCCATATCTGAAATGTCAGGTGTCGGTAGTTGGTCGTTTGCACAGCTAAAATTATTCCTGTTAGCATAATTTCTGTTCCTAATATTTACCAAATTTCGAAGTAATTTTGTTTGTTTTCTGTAAGAATATAAAAATCTGTGGTAAGTATCTTTAGTATAGTACAGTTTTTCTGAATAAAGTGTTTTTTTATATTTGACGAGTGTGCGTCTCAAGCCGTAAAGAGTAAGCAACTGTACTTAGCAACTGTACCCCTACTTCATTTATTTTTTAAAACAAACGAGGCTTACTTCAAGCTCTGCCTCTCTCAAGTATACTTCACAATTTTCTTAACATTTGTTTGTATTATATTCGAAATAAATTTCATATTTTCAAAATGTATATTTATAATATTTAAGTTTAAGCTAGCTGCAAGTTCTTGGAATATTATAACGTCGTTTTACAAGCCGTCCAAATGGCGGAGAGTTCGTTAAATAAAAGCTTCTTAAATATGTAGGTGCCATTTATGAAAGCTCTTTTCTGGAACCGCCCCATAGCGCGCTCACAACGATACTTGTAAGTATAAATCATTTGCACTAGTTCAATGTCTCTCAGAAATGTAATTACATAACTCACTTTCATAATTATGAACCTTTTTGGTAAAATATAGCAGGATACATACATATGTACATACATAATATAAACTACCTCGTAGGAACTTAGTCACGCATCGTTACTGCCGTGTAACCTTTAGGTACTCTCCGTTTTTTCTCGAAGTTTATTAAGGAAATCTTTATTTCATAACCTTTCTAAGGGTGTTTGGGGTGCTCACTGCTCAGTACCCACGTGTCTCGGTTTTTTACATTAAAATTATTTGCATAATTAGTGTGACACGTGTAGTGTCAAAAATGGACCCCGTGGCTCGCAGCCGTGAGCTAGCGAGTGGCCTATTTTACAGAGCCTACCCTTCGCACGAGTTAGTCAGGTCATGAAATGTATGTTCCCAATTAACTTTGTCAGCTCCACTCGTTAGCGGCGCCTAGCACCTACGCGATAGGGTCGATTTGTTACTTTTCCCGACATTAAAAGAGATTGTAGTGCAGCACTTTTTTATGGCGGCAATAATCTCCAAATGCGAGGGATAGAGAGCAGCCTTTCGGAAGCATTATTAAAATTAACAATTTGGGGAGAGCTCCGAATTGCTTTTTTCAGAGAAGTTTAAATGTAAATTATATTTTATTGGACTTCGGTTTTCAGTAAAGGCGAATAATAACGGCCAAGCTCGGTTTTGAGGCCCGCCACGTGCCCGCACCGTTAATTTATGATGGCTCTTATAACGTTCTAAGATTCTGTTTAAATGAAGGTGCTAGCGAAGACCTTCTATAAAAAAGGGTTGGAATTTTTTCAAAATATTGCATTTTCATCTAAAATATGTACTTTGGAGTCTCTAAATGATAGACTAAGTAAACTTACTTAAAACGAACTTAGATATGCGTAGATAATTGGGGTATCAAATTAAGTTAATTTTATTAATTGCTACCTAATTAACCAATTTAGACAACAACGAGGGGCGATACACACAGCTTTAAAAAAAACTTCCAATTTCGAATAATATGGCGCGTGTTAACTAAAACGCAACGGAATACTCTATAATTACCGAAACAGTTTTTATAAATGACGGGATACGGGCACAATCGAAGAAAGATTATACCTGGCGGCATAAAAACTCAAAAGCGCTTCATTCTAACGGCAGATGCAAGGATACCATGTGCTCCTCAATGGTATTAGAAAAAAATCAATTCGAATATCACCCTTATAACAAAAGTGCGGGCGAACTCCTTGATAAACATCATTGTTATAAAAAAAGGTCCAAATTGAGCCTCCTCGTCGACCATGCATTTTGGCTCTTGTTTCAATATACTCCAGAGCCTCTTTTAGGTCACTCTAACTATTGTCAGTTGGTCAAATGCCGTCGAAACAGAATGACCGTCATTAGAAATAGCACCTGCCTTCTGTTAGACATTAGAAGTTGAATAATGTCCGTCCCTTTACATGGGGCCGAGGGTCCGAATTCCCGAGTACGGCGCTAGTAAATTTTAATTCACCAAAGGAGAGGTACAATCTTAAAAATGGGTAGTATTTCCTCTAATTCCAGTAAATGCAGTACATTTTTAAACGAAAGTCGAAAATAAAAAGGAATGCCTCTTACTTTTTATAGATGTTACGACGGCTAACTATTTTCCTAATTAAGAGAGATAATTAGAGCTGAAAATTGTTCCGAGATTTCTTTACTGAAGAAAGAAAAGTACGTTTTGTGGATTTATCATTTAGGTCAGTTGAAACGTACTTTTAAAGATATGTAGGTGTGTTACTGGATCTACTCGTAATTATAATTGAATTTACTGGTAATAAAATGAGAAAAGTTAAACTCAGGAGATTTCAAATTTTCAACTCTTTCCGGGATTTAACGCAAGGCACTAGCAACATAAAATATTTCAGCAGCAACTAACTTTTTCTTTTATCATTTGTATGTAACCATATTTGGCATTCAATGCGCACGCGCACCATTTGCTAGAGACCGGATGTGGGTTCGTAGCACACTACTTCCGGTCTGGATATAAATAAACATCCCATCTTTGCCAGATGTTCGCCCCCATTATTATTGAGTACACGGAATATGGATTTATATTCCATTACTTTTTTTAAATATTGATTAGTTGAGGCTCACTTTAATAGGGTGAGGAATGGGCGTGGTAAGTTAAAGAAGTGGCATAGAAGATTTCTTTTTAAGAGGTGAAAAATCATCCAATGACTTCTCCTGCCTTGGTTGAGGCGAGAGAGAGAGTGTCAGACTCATACTGACTAAAAACCAACCCGTACTTACTTCTGCTCTTTGATCCGGAGCAACCCGTTTAATCCTACGCGGCTCCATAATGTGGCATAGAAGATAGTGTAAAAATTAAGAAAGGACAAAGGCAAGAAATATATTTACAAAGGTACGTTAGTAGCACGTTAGTAATACCATTTAGGGTAAAAGATGTCCTAAAAACCGTATAATATTTAGAGATACTATCACGGGATACTGAAAAAAGACCAGGTCCAGAGTACTCCTAATCGGTATTGTACATGTATGAATGTATGACCAAGATGCATAAAACCAATGAAGTAAGTTGGGATCATTTGGGCACTTTTTACCAACCCTAATAGAAACAAAGTGTAACGTTAATGTATACTTTATTAATGTAACTACATACTTACTGGAGCTTAGCAACAAGTTAAAGTAGTACCTAAGATCGGATCAAACACTATTGAAAAGCTTAGCGTGTTTGTAGGTACGATTAGTAAAGTTCGTCTTTAGTCATGTCCCGATCATTTGAATATTCTTAAGCTCCAATCGATCCTATAGGTATACATATAAAGCTCATATTGCTTTAATACTGCAAATGTACATTGAAGTGGTAATATTGTAAGATGACTTCGTAATTGTTTTTTTTTTTGGCGAGTGGATCAATTCATTTAACAGTACAGTTTTCAAGGAACTTATTAGTCTACCAAGTGTCAAACTATGACATCAAGATCTCCAAATAATGGAGTATTTAAATGAAACCGCGAGTACGACTTAGCAATACTATAATAACGCAAGCAATTTGCTTAGATTAAAGCCCCAGAAATGCCTTGCAAGCATTTCGTACCACGCGAACAGGAGCATAAATTAACAGAGTTCCTATGTTCTTCAACCACGCAATACCTAATATGACTTGATTTTACTTTTGGTATCATAAGTTCACGTCTAAACGCTGTCCGATAACAAAGACATTTGTGTCAGCATTAGTCTTGCTATACGAACAAGTAGAACCATAATAGCCATCCTCGTACAAATATATACCCCATTTGGGAATCAAACCCAAAACATTATACGCGTATATCATACAGACGCTGTGAACACGCTTTTAACTTTTGTAAAGTATTTTGTACACCTAATACAGATTCGTTTTTTGTCAGAACCAAAAAAAATCTCAACGTGTTTTATTTCATTTCAGAGAATTCCTATGTACACATCTCATTAAATATATTCTGCCAAGGAAA